CAGGAAGCCCGCAGAGGCCGCTCTCCGCCGCCGCCTCTCGTTGCTCTCGGAGAAGCAGGTTCCGGGCCGGGCTCCGACGCCGCGCGCCCCTCCAGGTCTCTCCTTTTTGTCGCCGGAGCCTGGACTCCGGTCAGAGGCCGCATCCAGCGCACGAGGTGAGGTAGCGCTGCAGGTCGTAAGTCCCTTTCCGACGCTTAGACGGCAGGAAACGGCACATAACACCTGGATTTCCAGCCGCTTTTGGAAATTTGGAGGCTGTGGGACGCGGCTTCCCCGCGTCATTCCATGGCCACCCCGGCCCCTTAGACACCAATTGGCACGAGCACCTGCTGAGGACACTGGCCCCACGGGCGTGAGCCTGCACCGGCTGGGCGCTCGTTCATCGGACAAGCAGGCTCAGCGCACCAGGGTGCCTGGCCCCGGGCCTCGGCGTCAGTTCTGCCTCCCAGCACCGTCCCTTTCCTCTTCCAGGTGCAGGAAGGAGGCTCCCGAAGTCACGGGTTGGTTACCGGCTGGCAAGTGGCAGAGCCAGAGCCAACCCAGGTTCTGTCTGAGCTCTGGCCACCAGGCCCATCGGCACCTCCCCGGCGTGCAGACATGGGGTGAGACAACCTGCAAAACGGCCGACATGGGAAGGTGGCAGCTCCTGTTTGTTGGTCGTTTCCCGACGGCAGCCTGTGTGCGTTTGCTCTACAACAGGATCACCGCACTCACAGACGCACTCACCGGCATTGCCGTGCAGGCATGAGACCCAACATTGTGCGATTCTGTGTAGCCTGCAGTTTATATTTTCCTAAAGTGACGAACACGTGCCCTTTATACAGAAACCTAACCTAGAAACGCGGAGGGCTGGTGAGCTCAGCTCCTCAGTGATGCCTCTTACCGCGCGTTTCTGATTCTGATTCGTGTGAGAGACCACTGCTGAGCAGAACTGTGAAGGCCAGAGTAGAAACTGCAGCCGCCACAAGGTGTGATCTGAGACTGGACCTGCAGGAGGAATGGAATCGTGTCTCTGCTTCGGTCAGATGGAGTCGTCGCTGTGCCTGACGGCGGCGAGGGAACCTTCCTTCTCCCAACAAGTGGAACAAGGAGGGCGGATGTCATGCTTTTAAAAAATGCCATATTAAAAAAATTAAAAAAAAATACCACAGTGTATCAAAAGAGAGATGTGAATAGAACTGATTGAATTTGACCTATGGTGTCTGGAGCTGGGATATTTATGTGGACGTGTATAAAGTAAATGGTTAGGGAGAACTCAGGAATAGCTCTGGATGGAATGAGACTGAAGGAAGAGGACACCTGAGAGCAGCACGTGACTGGTTTGGCTCTCGCTCTCAAGGACATAACTGGGCAGCTGGCAAAACCCAAGCAGGGCCTCTGGGAGATGAGTTCTTTGTGGTGCTCTCAACCTCCTTATAAGTACGGAATTATTTCAAAGTCAGTAAAAGTAACCACCTTTGTCCAAAAACTTTTATTTACTATAAAGACAAAACACCAAAATAGGTACAAATACTATAAAATTGGTTCAATGGGGTAAAAATTTTAATTAAAATATCTGGATATATTTAAAATAACAAAGGATACATTTTAAGCCAAATTTTCTTAACCCAGAGATTTTTTTTGTAACATTTGCTTTACACAGTAAGGTGCTAATAGAAGTTAGCCCTTAAGCCCTGGAAGTCTTAGGAATCATAGTCACACAGCAAATATAATTTCATGTGAAAGTGAACTTTGGTAGAAGAAAAATCTATAGGACACCTGAGGTAGTAGAAACTGGAATAAACAGCAGTAGACGTTATTTACAACTTGAGTACCAAATAACATTAAGAACAAAAATAATTACACAATACAATTTTCAGTCCAGCTTTGATCCAAAGAAAATAAGAATATTACATCACATTTGCATTGAAAACAAAAACGAAACAAAACACCACAATTACCAGCAAGCTGAGGGACCTGCACACACACTCAAACAATGGGCTTCGACATGCTGCGCTGTCTGAGCTGGCGCTCCGGCGGGCATGGTGATCTGCAGAGTAATACTGATGCGCTGCGGTTCCTCATGTACACAGTTCACGCTGCCGTCAGACCGGATTTGTCTGACCAGTGATCTTCCAGTAATAAAATGGCAAGAGTGCATCCTTTAAAGCCTGCACGTGGGACTCGAGACAATCTCATTAGACTGCAAAAATGCTAAGTAGTCAACACAGAGGAAATAAAGAAAGTCAAGTACAACACATTTAGAGCTACCAAACTTCACATTTCGGTACTATTTTTAACTCTTCAAATATTGCCAATCTTCCAAAACAAAGGAATGTAAAATTTCACTAAAACACATTCACATTTTTAAAAACTGCCTTTTAAAAATTATATGCAATATATCCCTGTAAACTTAACCTGGTAAGTTATTTGTGACTTCCAATTTGTGATGTACATTTAAAATGTAATCTGTGTAGCTTATTTAGTTTATCCTGAGTCTTTGAGAATAACCAATTCTAGTTCACCCTGCCATGATTCAACTGGCTTCTGAAGAGTTAAAACTTAATCAGTACTTGATTTAGAGACTCACAAAAAAAGGATAAAGAGCTGCCATTTTCCTTCAGGATCCGAATTCAACTGAGACGAAAACCATTAGATAATTGTGCAGAATCCAGTGAATTAGTTTGTAATTGAAATTCAATTCACTTTTCTATGAGGACATTTTCCAAGTTCAAAGCAAACGTTTAGTTTAAAAACGATTACTCATTGGTGGTTGAGGAATGAAGTTAATTTTCCTTTCATTCTCCACCAGGGCCGCCTGTGAAGAGAAGGAGAACAGCAGCTCCCTGCTCACCAGCAGTGGCGATTGCCACACGAGTGAGACTTAGTTGGTGAAGCTTCCTACAAATGAAACCAATTACAGAAACTCAGATTCCAAGGTAATCTTGATCTTGGCTGTGCTGCCTCACAGAGAACAGTTGCTTTTCTCTGAATTCACGTTTAACCTGCACCAGAAGAGCAGTGATGGACTTGATGAAGGTAGTAGTAAAACCCAATTTTAAAAAAACAAACAAAATTCTGTATTAAAAAACTCTTGCCACAGCAAGATATTCAACAAACTCTAGTTCACGCTTAGTTCTCTTTTTTTTTTTTTTCTGGATTGAAAAGATCACCTTTCCCTGAATATTAAACAAAAAATGAAGGTGAAATGAAAACATAGAACCATAATTTCCAAAAACGAAATGAATGGGCCAACAGTAAAATGCACAATGAGCCACAATTGCCCAGGCTTTTAAAAAATAAAGGTCAACTGTGGGTCATAAAGAAGTTATCAACTTTAAAAAATACATTTCTTTACTGCTACTTATAGCATAGTCTGACCTAAAAAGAGGCAGATACTGATTTATATTGCCAGTGACAAAAAACTGCATGAAAGCAGACCCCTGCTTGTGATTGCGATACGAAATGGAAGAGTAGTTGAGACAGTAAAACAGATCCTGAGCCCCTCAGCTGCTAATATTGCTGAAAAAGTGCTCTGAGAGAAATAATCATAAAACTATGCTTCTGGTACTTAGTCATGCAAACTCCTTGCTGTCTTGTTGCCGAGGGCCAGTCCCTGAAAGGCACCATTTGCAGTTCGGCACAGGTGTGGGCTCTGCAGACTCAGCTTAGGTACAGACATGATTTGTCAATCACATACTTAGGTAAGGGCTCCCCATGGGCTTGTTCATAGCTGTTCAGTGGCAGGAAGGCCAGCGGATTATCACCGTGGTTCCCACTGCCGTGTTTCTCTGACTGAGCATCCGTCTATGTGCATCTGTCTGCACAGCTGGCTACCACGTGGTGCGGAAGACCGGGTGCTTCAGCAGCTCCCTTGATGGAGGTCTGTCCTGAGGTTGAAGTTCTAAGCAGCGAAGAGCCACGTCACGTAACCCGGGAGACAAGTGTGACGGGATCGACGGGGCGGTCGTTGCACTCGCGATCTGTGGGAGAAACACCAGGCTGAAGCGTCCCATGCGGGACTCCTGACCCAGAAGTGCCAGGCGTGGAGTTCCTGGCCTCTGCACAGGCGCCCTCCACACGGAGGGACAAACCAGGGGGACACTCTGCTAATGGTGTGAGGCAGAAACTCGCCATTGGACAGAAGGATCTTTCTAAGAATCCTTCAAACTTTAGGGCATTAGCACTTGATCAACTGTGTCCTGTCAGGTGGATCTGCTCCGTCCCTTACTGTCTCAAATGCAGGCCGAGTGCATCCAAATGATCAGAGGTGAAGGGCTCACTCGATGAACTCGCTCTCCTAGACACTGTCTCTGCGGCTCCCTGCACAGTCTGCTGTTTCAGCACAGAGAGCAAGAAAGACTCAGCCCTGCCAGCCAGGCGGCCGAGGAAGCCAGGAGGCACAGGATGACAGGCAGAGGCCACGCACAGGAGTGGAGTGTGTGTGTGAGTGTCAGTGTGTGTGCTGGGCGCTTTACTCAGGCCTAGGGCTCATTCTACGTGTCCTCATCACAGTCCTGTGAAGTAGGTGCTGTATCACACCCACCTTATAAACAACCACAACAAAACGGGAGACAGAACAAGGAATTTCCTGGTCAGTGGCTACCACAGGATGGAGCAGGGCTGGAATAGGCCTGTGCGACTCCCAAGCCCCATCTTTTACCAGCACGTGGCTGACTCAAAGCTAACTATCTGAACCACTGCACTGATCTCTGGTGGAAAAGAACAGAATGGACTTGAGTTGTCAGAAAGGTAGAACAGACAGGATTTGGAAACTGACTTTTTAATTTTTAAAATTGATTTGAGAGAGAGAGGAAAGGGGAGGAGGGGAAGAGAGAAAGGAACATCAAATTGTTGTTCCACTTATTGATGCATTCATTGGTTGCTTTTTGTGCCGATTAGGGATTGAACCTTGGAGTATTGGGACAACTGAGCTACCCGGCCAGGGCAAAGGTGTGTTTTTAAAATGGAGAAGACAGTAAACTGGAGTCTATATAATACGTGAGGAGCTTCAAGCTTTTCCATCTGAAAGTCTGACAGGGATCTCTGTGCTTATTCCAGTCGGGAGCAATGGTTCAGTGTTTGCTAATTCATTGTCTGCAATAACTTCACAGAACGTCACTGCCTGGAGGAGTGAGGCCTGGCTGTCCATGCCGCCAACCCTGACCTGCCACGGGCGGTTCTGCAGGTGTGCACACAGTTATTTCAGGAAAGGTGTGCCTTCATGTCAGACTGACAGTTAAGGAGAACCCATGAATATCTGCTTGCTGCCAATTTTAGCAAAGGAAATCGTTTTTATCTCATAATCACCTTAAATATCAAAGCGAGATGATTGGAGTGTTTCTCTGCGTTCCAGGGCGGTTTAGCACAGGCCATTTCTATGATGGCACAGCCGACACTCCACACGTCACAGCTCCTCCCATACTGCTGTCCTCGGAGGACCTAAAAGAAAGCGGAGTTTTACTTAAAAAACAGGAAGCCACCCTGTAGTTACGGAATCTAGTTTTTTACTTCAGAGCAAAACAAGGTACAGACAGCAACTCTGCAGATGAGCTGATGTCTCATTTATTTCATTAAAGAGCTTATTAATCTATGGGACACAACAGTATTTTGGAGAATTGTGAGATCCAGAAGAGTCACAGGAAATCACAGAATTTCAGCGCTGCCCAGTGCACTTAGTAAGCTATGGGGCAAGAGGGCAGCGAGAATCACTGTGGAGCGCCAGGAGGCTGACCACGAAGTAGAGGCCAAGTTCAGAGCAGCAACAGCAGCTCCTGCTCACACTTCCTCCTCTGTGCTCACCTCCCTCTGGAGCAGAGCGAACAATGTAAACAGTCTCTAACAGGTATACTTTGTTTACTACAAAACAACTGCTATGAATTACCCAACAAGACTTCATTAGAAATAGCCTTTAAGCAACTCTATTAAAACCTATCTTTTAAAATTTTGTTAAGACAAAAACGGAAAGGCAGGGATGAAGGGTGTGAAATTAAGGATATCATTAAAGCCTCATGCTTAGGGTCATGGGCTTCTAACTGGTAAGCACAGATTGGATAACACTGCAAACTAACTTGGTATATTTTCTCCTGCCACACACGAAGCTGCTTCTCACCTCAGGCGCCATAAATGCGATTGTCCCCAGCAACTGTCCCTGAAACTCTCCTGCGCCAGTTCCCTTTGAAGCCAGCCTGGCTGCCGCTCCGAAGTCTGCGATTCGCAGCCTCTGACCTGTGCTGTCGATGAGGAGGTTAGCACCTGTCGAGGGAACGGCAAGTGAGCGTGTGTGTTAAACACAAAGGGCAGACGACACACTGAAATACCAGTGACCCAGGACA